CTGGGAGGGATGAGGAAGCACCACAAGCCCTTCTCACAGGCGAAAACCATTTCAGCTCTGTGCAGCCATGGTTGAGAGGCTGGCGCGGGCCCCGTGTGCCGGAGTCAGGATGCAGCTGGTATGGGGCATTTTGGCTCTGCACAAAGGAAGGCTTGCGAGCAGGAGTGAAATTCAAAATATTTAAGAACTGATATGACACAGACAGCAACCGATCAGAACAGGCATGACGGCCAGGGAGAACAGATGTGGGCTGTAAACCAACAGTCTGGCTAGGGGACTATATCCCAGGCGAATGTCAGTCTCGGCAACAGAGAAGCCCAACGTGGGAACAAGAAGAGGATCAACGGGTGGGGGCCCAGGTGCCAACAGGGAATTGTCCACCTATCTCCAAAGCAAGTCCCAGGGAGAAGTCCACGAGGCCCCCAGGGCTCTGTAGGTGATGGTTTCCAAGGAAAGAGGAAGGGCCTCTTGGCTATGGAGGAAAAGAGTTAAGGGCCTCAGGGTCCAGCTCCCAGGCTCAGCGGCACCACTGCCCTTGGGATGCACAGGTCCAGCCTCCAGAAGGGCAAAGCCCCAAGCCCACCCGAAGACTTGCCCACGAAGGCTCTCACTGACATGTCATCATGTCATTCTGCTTACTTTTCTCTTGGCCACCGAGTGTTCGCTTGTGTCTCCCGAAACAGTTGTTCTTGTTCTAGCATTTATTTATTTTTATTTATTTATATTTTTGTTCTAGCATTTAGATGAGGGCACCAGCGCACCTCACCGGAGTCCCAGGGACACCAAATGTAGCCTGGAGGCATGACTCCTGGTCAAGAGTCAACAGCTGGAATCCTAGTACCACCTTGGCAGCCCCCAGAGCCATTCCAAGCCCCCCTCCTCCCCAGCTCAAAGCTGCCTCCCTAGTGCTTGCTAACCTTTCACTTAAAAACATATGCTCCTGTTACCCTTTGGACAAAGTCACAAGGGGTCAATTATCTTGTGGCAATGAAGGAGGAGTACCATTTCTTCGGCTTGCATAAGATGAGGCTCCACATGATGAAATAAATCATTGGCCTGTGAGGTCTTGTGGGAAGGTACTAGAAAGGAAGGCCCTCCCTTGAGAGCAGTGCACGAAGACCTTTCCCCTCACCCAGCCTCACCCGCCAATGAGTCTGTGGGCACACTTGCCAAGCCTAAGAGATTCCCCTGGAAAGTGCCACTGAAACACTTCACCCCTGCTCTTCATGGACCTCAAAAGGTTGTGCCTGATGTTGACTTTGCCCCACTCGTGTCTTATAAATCCAGTCTTCTTTCCCGTTAGTTATTAGTGGCTCTTCCTACTGTCTTTGATACCTGACTGTGGCCTCCTGGCCTTCACTAGCTTTGTCCCCAGGATTTGAGTGACAGCTTCAGGAATTTACCGAAGGAGTGATGGGCATGGGCTGTGGCTTTGTGGTCCACTGGGACATCTAGGGAAGGCCAGAACATCCTGGCGAAGCAAAACATGGCAGCTTAGCACCATGTTCTCGGGCCAGTAAGCTGGGCTCCCACCTCCAGCTTTGCCACCTAACAGCTGGATAACCTATGAAAGTTATCCAAACGTTTCAAGCCTCTGTTTTCTATAGTGGAAAATGGTTATAATATTAGTATCTATCTTATAGGGTTATTTTAAGAAGCAAAATAATTTATACAAAGCACTTAGCACTTTGTCAAGCACAAGGTCAGCAATGAGGAAAGTTGGTCATTATTAATATAGTTAGTCCTTCCAATATTTATAGATTAGTTGCTACAGACCATGTATCCTGCTAGGGGCTAACGTTCTAGTGTCTGCCCTCAAGAACCTCACCATTTAGTGCGAGAAGACCACAACCAACAACTAGGATGTACTATGATAAATGCTTTACTAATAATTACTTTCAAAAGCACCATCACTAAAAGGTGACAACCATTTTTGCTAGTCATTGTGTGTTATACACTTTATATATGACAAGAGCATAAACTTTTTGGTCCAAACACCTGGGCTCAAATCCCAGCATTATCACTGAATACCTGAGTACTCTCCGGCATGTTAACTTCTTTGAAATAGCTTATCTGGAAAAATGGAGGTAAAAATTAGAAAACAGAAAGTATATCTAAGATGTTACCATAGTGCCTTGCATAATGGTGTTGGAAGAGCTAACGTGGGCTATTGTCCCAGTCCTGGAGGGTCTGTCTGGGTAGGTATAAAGGTCAAGGCAGGACACCCACCCAGGATGTGTGGCAGCACTGTGATGTTCAGTGGCCCGTCTGGTGTGGAGCCAGTTCTGAGCCAATGGCTGGAGCCATAGGGACCAGAGGCTGGCCACTCCAATGGAGTTGCCAGCAAGAACTAGGCAGAATATTCCAAGTAGGGCAGGTCCTCCAGGACCAAGAGAAATTGAGTGTGTTGGTGTAGTAAGAGGCCAAGCTAGGAGTCAAATGTAGGCCTGTTATATTATAGAAGGCATGAGTATCCCGGCCTGGGGCACTCTGCTCCCATAGCCAGGGGCTTCTCTACAGATCACAAACACTGGCTATCCCCCCACTGCACACTCAACCCCACACTGGGTACCCCCATGCTGCGTACCGTGGGGGTGAGCAAGGACGATGCAGGCAGAACTCTGCACCTTACAGAATATACTACTTCTGAAAAGGAGCCATGCAAATCAGAACACACCAGCCCCAGAACAGAGCCAGGGCACAAAGAACCAAACTGCACCAACTCAGACCTGTTTACACGAATGACCATTCTTACAGCACGGTTTGATAAGCCTGTTGCTAAGCCTGCCAAGCTTCCTATCACAGAGCACTTCACTCCTAGCTCAGGAAAGATAATCACTCTGGGAACCAGCTTCCTTAGGAGACCTGGCAGAAGGCTTTCAGTGCACAGTGAAACCTACCTTTCAACAGAGCTTCTCCTCCTCCCATGTCAGACAAGGGGAAACCCAATCCCTAAAGGAAAGGGTTTGCGCACACACAGTCCTGCCGGGTGTCACTGGCTGTAAGTGACCCTCCGGGAAAGGAAGGAGCCCCGATCTCTCTCTCGGCTTGGAGCAGCTCATAAACAAAGACCCTAAAGTCTCCTGCTGGAACAACGTGAGATGCAGGATGCTCAGATTCCAGGGACACCCGCAGGTATCATCTGTCAATCCTGACACCAGCCCCGGCTGTGTCGGGGTCCGAGCGGAGAGATCAGACAAGCAGCAGGGTAGGGCGGGGGCGGGGGGAGAGGAGGGAGGGGGAGAAACGGCTTTGGAGAGACCACTACAAATAGGCGGAGTTTTTATCTGACACTAAAGAACAGGGCAAGCTGTGTGATCCAAGCCGGGATGAAAGCAAGGCAGGCCTCTGCCTTGTAATATAAGAGTTTAATGATACTTATTAAAAGCCCGTTTCTTGGTCCTGTTGAAAAATTACACCCGTGTTTCTTTTTTTCATATAAATTGCTTCCTAGAGATAAAGTGCACACACACACGCACACACACACACTCCTTACAGATTCCACACCCCATGCTCGCACACCTGCATTCTCCATAAATCCTGCACGTCCTGTGTATCACACACACGTCAGTACATCTTCATCAAGCATAGCTACAATTCACGACACACACACATACTATAAAGCCGGAAAACCCGTCCCGGTCCCGGAGGTTATCCATGCACCCTTTGAAATTGCAGACTTTGAGGGAGCCCAAGAGCTTCTTGCTCAAGTTGTCATCCCCACAAACAAAGAGCACAACCTCTAATCCATATCATTCTCCACGTCTTGCCTGAGACCAGGCAACTCTGCAAAAGCTGGCGCCACCAGGATCATCAAGCTTTGGTGGAAAGCAACAGCATTCCGTAGGGTCACTGTGGGAGAAGGGGTCTGTGCCCCTCTGGCTCGGGCGGGTTCCCTCTGATATGCTGAGTACCAGCCACCTGGAGGTGGCCTGGGCCTCCGCCGGGGGGCATATTTTTTTCTGGCTATCAACTTACCCAGAGCTCAAGGCTGCCTTCATTCTCAGTCAGAGAAGGCATTGCTTTCTGGAATCATTAGCTAGATACAAGAAAGTACCCCTTAGCCAAAAAGTATCCTTCCACCAGCATGGACTCCCTCCCGGTGTTGATCTCCCCAGTGTTTTACTCACTGCTAAGGGGTAGGGTTCGAAGGCTAAAGTCATCAGGTAGAATAGTTTGCTGTTACCAGAAACAAATGCTTTGGAGTTGGGAAATTTGGTTTCAAGGTCAGCTCTAACCCTTCCTCACTGTATGGCCTTGCCAAGTCCCCGAGCCATGGTGTTCTTCTTGGCAAAATGGCAATAACAGCTTCTTTCCATCTTACGGAGTTTGGGGGAAGATCACAAAATGCCCTACAGACTGTAAACTCCAAAGCAGATGTTAGAAATTTTCATGATGAGACAGTAATGAGGAAATGGAGGCGCTCATAAATTGGGCTGTGAGTGCCTCCAGGGCAAAGCCTGTGTTGTATGTATCTTGTTATCCTCAGTGCCTGGCACAGAGGACTGACACCAAATATTCTGGGGAAAAAATGGTTTGAAAGAACCAGTAAGCCTGTGAGTTAAGTGGCTTGTGCAAGGTCACAAAACAGCTGATGGTGGGACTGAAACCCAGCTCCCCTCACCCCCTCGTCCCAGGCTCTGTTCCAGATGCACCAAACTGTTGGGTATCTGGAAGGGTCAGTGATGTCAAACTAGCCACAGTGTGGGCCAGGTTTTAATGAGCCCTACCATTCCCCGGGAAAGATCCACTACAGGCAGGCAACGCCCAGGAAGCCTTCACAAATTCGCTTGTTAAACATTCCAACTCAACAGTGAAAACAAACAGAAACTACAGGGCAAATCATATCCAAATGCCTCAAACCAACTCATCTTATTTCCTGTCTTGAATTGCACACATCAGAAAAGTCATGAGGTTGGGACAATGAGCCTGCAGAGATTTTGGTTGCGGAAACTAGCAGCATATCTTGTTTCCAGCTCACTTTCAGCATTATCACTTACCTACTGACCAAGTGTCCGGGAGATCACTAGCCCTCTCTGAGTCTCAGTTTTTCCATCTGCAAAACAAGAAGATGATTTGCAATTAATCCCTTGAGACCACTGGACTAAAATGCATCAGAGGTTTAATACCTTGTATCAGTTCCCAACTGCTTATGATCCCACATAACTGGGGAAATTGCTAAGGGTCAGGGGCTGGAAGGGCATTATTTCAAAAATGAAGTATAATAATTAACAGTTATGTGACATGTAAGGCGCCGATGGTGTTCAACCCCCAGTACAGAAAATTCAGCCTTTCCATCATTTTGGCACTTATTTTTCTTTTTCATAAATGTAAAAATGTAAAAGGCCACTGAAATACCAGGAGAAATAAAGCAAACAAAAATGTCACCACCTCAACATACTCACGCTCAACATTTTAGGGTATTTTTCCAGTTTTTCTCTTCTAATGCACAGAGTTCACCATTTTGCAAAGCAGGGACCACAAAGGCATTCTATACTGAAAAGTCACACGCAGATCACCATGCTCCCCCCACCCCGGAACCCCCAGTATTACACCTCGACTGTTGTTCACATTATTAACTCTTTTTTATTCCGACATCAGCTTTGTTGGCTTCCCCAAGACTCCTGGGCCCTGGTCAGGTCTCCGGCAGGCACCGTGCACAGCAGAGCCCAGGGGAGGGAAGAGCCAGTGACAGGAGGGACCCTGGGCTGGTCTTTCCCCAGTCTGGGTTCAGTTACCTCATCTGCAAAATAAGGAAACTAGACTGGCCCATCCCAGAGATCACTTTTACCTTAAAAACACAAAGCTAAGGAAAAGTGAAGGAAACATATATTTGAATCCCTACTATGTGACAATGAGTCCATACTGTTGAGCTGGTAATATCTATGGATATTATCTCCTGAGCCTCTTAGCCACCCTGGGAGATCTTCCAGACAAGAAAACTGCAACTCAGGGAGGTTCCGAGGTCCATCCAAGACCCACTGAAATCATGTTGGCACCACTTGCCCAATTTTTGCTGTAGTGATGTCTCACCTCTACTATCGTTTACTAATTTTTCCAAGTTGATTCACATTTTTTGCTTAACTTTATTTTAATGGATTTTTTCTTAAAAAGTTTCTGCTGCACTTTACTTCCCCACCCCTCTTCTCTCTAAGGCCCACTGAAAGGCAATCTTCCAACTCAGATGGATTCTCTAATAGCAAAATTGTTGCTAACAGTTTAAAGGAATTTTTAGTCATGACCATTCTATATACAAATCTCTATGAAGTCATAGGTTTGAAGTGTTGTTTTTATGGGTTTTTTTCTAATACTCATTAAAATAAATAACTTTTGAAGTTTAGAATGCTCATCTCTGCACTTCCCAGCGATGCCCCTACTTTGTCTTGGGAAGGCTGGTTTAGGGGTCTCTCGTCATGCTGCAGCCAGGCCTTGGAACATAAGTCTGTCCTATTTCAAAGCTGAAATGTCAAAAGCATTTAATGCTTACTGAATGTCAAGAAAGTCACATAGCCCAGAACCGAAGGAACTGGGACTTGGGGGCCCCCATTTGCTCGCTTCCGACCCTGGGCTCTGTATTTTCAGTTTCCTCTCTGCCCCTCTGCAGACCCCCAATTTACAACTCTGTGGCATCAGGCCCCCAATTAAGTTCTGTTTCCAAGTCAAGGCAGGGTCATCCTGTTTTGTTAGGTCGCCAGCTTTTCCATAAAGTGACTAGATTGTATCAATGCATATTTAAGTTCCCAAAAGGGCACTTGGATAAGAAGCTGCAGAATTTCTAAAACCAAGTTTAGAAAATGTGAAGGGAAAGTGATTCTTTATTCAAAGATCCAAGATAGTAACCAAGGAAACAGAAAGGGCTGATAACATAATATCCAGGAATGCCATTGCGACTGCAAATGAGCAGAAGACCCCAAGCGAGTCATGGGAAGTGGGAGAAAGTGGTGGAGTGACTGTCCTGGGCACTGATCGAACCTGGTGTTGGGTATCTTTCTAGAGTTCTAGGCTTCTGTTTCCTGTCATCTGGTTGAAAATTAATTGGCATGAATTTTTTATGACCAGAGAGTAAATAGACTCAAAGGCCTGCAGAATGGGCTCAGACTTTCTGGAGAGTTCCCCATTTCTCATGAATACAAGCTACAAAGTTGTGCAGACACAGGAGAGCAATGATTTTTCATTCTTGGGCTGACACCTCTTCCATGAAGTCTCCCACTAGCTGGAGTCAGGATGAGCCACCCTCGCTTGGCTTCCCTTCCAGCGACTTTAATTAAAGTCTCTGTTACACTGCAGTTACTCTTTTCTCTTCTTCTAAAGGATTATTTTTTTCTGTTTACCCAAACTGATTAAATATAATAAAAACTCACCTACCACTAGCAATATGATTTTAGACAGGCTTCCTCCCAAACCTTGTTGTATACATACCCCCATGCACATTCACATACATACACATTCAGACACTTTATAAAATGGGATCCTATTATACACACTAATTTTTATCTTTTTTAAAGGGTTACATAAATGCACAATTAATCCTATTAATGTACATATAGGTGTTTTCATTTTTTCACTAGTGAAAATACTCTAGTATTTTTGTACATGTATCTTTTTGTGGTTGCTTGATTGTATACTTAGACTATATTGCTTAACATTTTTTTAAAAGACTTTATTTATTTATTTATTTTAGAGAGAGAGAGAGAGAGAGACAATGAGCAGGTGGAAGGTCAGAGGAGAAGGGAGAGGCAGAGGAAGAGGGAAAGAATCCCAAGCAGACTCCACGATAACTGCAGAGCCCCACGTGGGGCCCGATCTCAGGACCCCAAAATCATGATCTGAGCTGAAGTCAAGAGCCAGACGCTTAACCAGGTGAGCCACCCAGATGCCCCACTGCTTAACATTTTTTTAAAAATATTTTATTTTTAGCTTTGCACAGTGGCAGTATCGTAGCCAATGAGGTTTATCTGAGGCGCGATTATTGCTAATTAAAAATATTTTAATTTTAAGTAATCTCTACACCCAGCATGGGGCTCGAATCATGACCCTGAGATCAAGAGTCACATGCTCCACTGATTGAGCCAGCCAGGCCCCCCTTTATTGCTTGACATTTTTAAAAAAAGATTTTATTTATTTATTTTGAGAGAGAGAGCAAGCATGGGAGTGGGCATGAGCGACAGAGGGAGAGAGAGAATCCCAAAGAGATTCCACGCGGAGCCCAATGTGGGGCTTGATCCCAGGACCCTGAGATTATGATCTGATAGCTTGACATTTTTAAGAAATTTGTAACTGCCCCCCACAAAAGACTGTGTCACTTTTAATTTCCACCAGCAGCACAGAGGCATGCCAATTCTTCATGATCTCATCAGTTTTAGGCATTAATGTGCTTTTTCATCTTTGTCAATGTGATAGTTAAATGGAGCCTAGTTATTTTAGTCTGCATTTTTGGATATCAGTTGAACATCTGTTTCTATGCTTCTTGGCCATTTGCAATTCTTCTTTTAGGAAATGCACATTCACAGTCCTTTGCCCATTGCTTGGTTGGGTATTAGCCTCTTTCCTGTTTGGTACATAGAGTTTGCCATTGGTCTCTTGCCTTGACTCTTATTTTTAGCTTTCTTCCAGTGAGTTCCATCGCGGTAAATGGCGCTACCAGGTACTGTGGCCCCACCAGAAATCTGGAGGCCTGTCCTGATACCTCCCTGCGCGTTCTCCCCACCAGTCACCAAGTCCCATCTGTCCTATTTCCTAAGTAGACTTTAATTCTGCTCCTGTTCATGTTTCTCCCTCTCCAGCACCATGACCCTCACCAATCCACCATCACCTCTCACCTAGCCTCCTAACTGCTACCCATATCCTCTCCTCCAATTCTCTCACCATCCAGAAACTAGAGGGATATTTTTTTAATGCAAATCAGATAGTCTCCACTGCCTAAAGCTCTTTGACAGCTTCCTAGCCCGTTAAAGATCAAATCCAAAGTCCAGAATGTGCACCTGTGCCTGAAAAGGGTGCTTCTGGGACCCAGTTTCTGCGCTGCTTGGGTCTCTGTCGATACATCCATCTCCCCTCCAGTCTCTGTACTTAGTCACACTGGCTTCCTTGCAGATCCTCAAGTCGGTCATTCTTCTTCCCAATTCAAGGCCCTGGATGTGCTGTTCCATCTGCCTGGAAAGTTGTTTGCTCTCCTCTTTGCTGGCTAACCCAAATTTATCCTTCAGGCCTCTCAGCTATCTCCTCCAGGAAGCCCTAAACCCCCACACTAAGTGAGCTCCTCTGGCTATTTACTGGAGTTTTCCTTTGAGGCACATTTTCCAAGGTACTCTGTGGTTGGAAAAAGGGGTACTGAGCATCCAGGTTCTACCCACTAGAAGGACTGAAGTCCTGCTGGGTTTCCCACTGTATTCAGATGGACTCGAGGCCTGAGTGGGTCAGGACCTGCAAGGGAAGGGCACCACTGACCCACAAAGCAGGGCTGGTGACGGCACAGGGTAATGCCTCCTTTCTGGCAGCCCTTGCTGTCCTTGCTCATGAGGTTCCAGTAACTCTGAGACTCAGATGCTGCTTGAGCTCTGCGTTTCGCTCCTTCAGGCAGGGGAGCTGATTTCAAAAAACTCTCTTGAGCCCAGCAAAGCTGGCCATATTGCCACTAGCTGTCTGAGGGGGGAGGCGCTCTCCCCTGAGGGCCGTGTGGTTTCCAACTTCTTCATTGTTGGTGCTCAGATTTTTTTTTCTCCTGGACTTCTGCTGCTGATTAGGTCCTGAAAACATGTTCACTTTAGCTTTCTTCTGGGTATTTCAGAGCCAGAGATTTTCTCCTTTGTCATTCTCTCAGTTAGATTTCATTTTGTGCGTGTGTGAGATTGCAAAAATGACGCATTTCAGGTATGAAGCAATTTAGGATGAGAAAATTGTACTCTAGCCACAAGGCCCCAGCCCTAACGACCTAACAACCTACCACGGCTTGGCAGGCTCAAGAGTGACATCCTGATGCGGTAAGTGCTTCCCAAGACCAGCTGTGTCCTCGTCCGGGCGGCCTCCCCACAGCTGTCTCCTCTGCAGGTGCCCCCA